ATAAGCAACTCCATTGCTGATTTTGTTTCAGTCTGATAATTGGGATCAAAAGGATCTTGTGACTATCTTGTTGGCCTTTTCATCTGACTCTGGTAGCACAGGTTGAAAACCAAGTCTGGTATCATGTAAAGCTATAGTATGAGTGCTTGGTAATTTTGATATAGTTTGATTTTTACATGCATCTAGAACTGTGATACCACTGTAGGATACACAAATAGCTTGCAGCTAATCTCTGCTAGTGTCTGTATTGGGTTTGTATTTAATATGAGAATTAGAATGATCAATTTCTTTTACTTTAGCCAGTTACAAACCAGCTTTATCCAGCTTTGGCCCTTGCAATTATTGAGCTGTGCATATCTTTGTAACCACTTTTCAGTTTTTGTCATGTCCTTAAATTTCAAAATGAAATGCAATTGAAGAGGACAAAGGGGCGTTAATGACAGTACCATTTGCTTGTTGGTTCATGTCCAATGTTCTCTGTCCCTCCGAGGCTGGATTGTTCTCCACTGGCAGTGGAGCATGGTAATGCTTCTTTATTTACTCTTCTGATATACAGCTGGTCTCATGAAACTATACTGCAGTAAATGAAAGAAAATGTGCCTGTAGTCATACTTGAATATGTGTACTCGAATACTTTGATTTAGCTATTGATAATTTGTGGCTAGTCTTGCACGTCAACTTTATACTATTGAACTGTAGTGGATGTTAGTTGAAAGGACGTCATCTTCAGTGAAGTCCAAGTTGTGCATTAAGGGGCTATTCTGCACAGAATATGTGCAGGTAGGAGAGCTGTGTCTTTCCAAAATTTGAAGACAAGACTTCAGCAGTAATAGTATTGAAATTGTGATGGTGAGAATCTGTTATTCCTATTTCATGAGTCCAAATACATTAATGTATTCAGAAGTCCCAGTCTGAATAGCAGTTGATTTTGTGTGCTTGTTCCTATTCCTCTGAAAGTATATTCAAGAGGTGAATTTAAGATTTAGGCTTTAAACTTTCCTCAATTAAAAGTAAAAAAAAAACAAAAAAAAACCCCAAAAAAACCCCAAAACCAACCCCCCC